TCAAATAAACAGAGATAGGTTTGCATTGTAATACCTCCTCTAATTACTTACTGTATGTTAAACCCCAAGCATAAACTTTTCCATTGCCATCTTTCCAATTAAACTACTGCCATAAACACCAAGGATGCAAATTGTTCTCCACAAAACTAAGTTTTATTATTGGCTAGAGTGACAGCAGCAGGACACCCAAAATTCATTACAGATGAGAATGACTGTTTTGTCCAGCAAAGATTTTTTATTCGTATATTAGGGAAAAAAACTAGTAGTTAAATGAATAGTAAAGCTGATAACTAAAAATAGAGTGGGCAGAATTGAGAAAGCCCCCCTTCATATAAGCCACCCTCCCCATTACTACAATTTTCCACTTCCAGACTCACAAAGGAGGGGCTCTGGGGGAGATGCATTGCAATAGGAAAGATGATGGGGAATCTCCATTTCAACCAACAGAACTTTGCAGACAATTCTCTGGAATCTATTTACTAGCAGTAACTTTAGCAATGAACAGGCCTTTTAATTTCATGCTTAACATGAGCTTGTATCAACCTATGGTCTGAATTTACTTTTAAAAGCAATCTTTGATCTTATTGTGGAATCACTGGCTTTTTGCCATCCTGGTGATTTCCACATGTTCAAGGAAAACCCCCAATGACTAGATGAACTAACTCTACTGAACCAGCTAGAAACAGATGGAACAGAGCCAGATATCTCACTACTTATTTTAAATAAACCCCATAAAAGCATCATTTTCTTGTGAAACAACTTTCCCTTCAAAGTATAGAATATACTCCAGATTAAAATAAATAAATAGAAATATACATTAAATTTATAACATTCAAGAGGCAAAAGGCTAAATTCCTCTACTTGCACACATCGTACTGATCATATATTTGCCTAAATTAAATTAAGAGGGTAGCTGTGTGATTCTATCACAGCAAAAACAACAGAACTTTAGGCACCCAAAAAACTTACTTATTGAAAACATTTCAATAAACTGCCTAGAGTGGTCAAAATGACCAGATAGGTGGGGTATAAATAAAATAAATAAATAAAATAAATAAACATTTATAGCCTGCCCTTTATATAGGATCTTAGGGCAGGTTACAGAGCCATATAAAGCAATTTACAAATATAAGCTATTTAAACAGTTTAAAATACAAATTTAAAACATAAAATCTACCCCAAAAATCATGCAGACCACAATGTCCAAAAGGCTCTAATGCACATGTTTTGACTTGGCATTAAAATGATGCCAATGCCATCGCCAATCAAGCCTCTGAGGTGAGGGCATTCCACAGTCAGAGTGCTATAGCCAAAAAAGCTCCCCCTCACCCACTGTGATGTAGTGGATAGAATGATGGACTAGAACTCAAAGGATATTCCATTCAGTCATGGAAATTCAATGGGGGATGGGAACAGTTAAAACCTATTAGGGTCATTATATGCCAGTTCTGAGTTGATGGCACAAAACAGTAACAACAGGTCTTCACATAATGAACTTCTCAGTGGTGGGGCACAGAGAAGGGCCTCCCCAGCTGATCTTAGTGATTGGGCAAGTGTATATAAGGAGAGGCACTCCTTCAGATTTTCAGGTCCCAAGTCATTTAGGGCTTTTCAAGTCAGCATCAATACTTGAAACAAATGTTCACTCTAAGTTTCTGGTATGGGAGCCTCACTGTGTGTGTGAGGGTGGGCAGGGCTTCACTCAAAATAGGAAATAAACACACTGGCTGCTGTCTGTCTGTGCACAACCCCGATGGAGCTCTGTGGGCAAGTGTGTGCACACAGCTTAGAGGGAACATTGCCCTGAACTCAGACCAGAAGCATACTGGCAGCCAGTGCAAATCCTTCAGAACTGATATCATGTGGGTTTTGAAAGATGTTCCTGTTAGCTGCTACATACTGCACTTGTTGCAGCATCTATAACATCTTCAAAGGTAGCCACACATAGCATGCACTGTAGTAGTCGAAGCGGGAGATTACCAGGGCATGGATTACTGGGGCCAGTTTATCCCTGTCCATGAATTGCCATAGCCGGCAAACCAGTCCCAACTGCCCCAGCACTCTGAGCCATTTTGCTGACAAAGATGAATCCAGGAACACCCTTAAACAACACACCTCCTCCTTCAGGAGAAGTGAGACTCCATACAGTACGGATTTCCTACCCAACCACTGAACCACAGAGTCTCCCATCTTGTTCAGATTCAGCTTCAGTCTACTGGCCCTCATTGAGCCTCTTACAAGCTTCAGTCTACTGGCCCTCATTGAGCCTATTACAATCTCTAGACATTGCTCCAGCACCTGCACAGCCTCAGCCAACCTTGATGACGAAAAATCGAGCAGAGTGCCATCAATATGTTGATGACACTCTGCTCGATTTTTCCTTGATGGCACTCAATCTCCAAATTCCTAATGACGTCTCCAAGAGGCTTCACATAAATATTAAGCAGCATGGGAGACAGAATGGAAGCCTGCAGCACCCGCGAACTTAATCACTATACAACTCAGCAGTAGTCCCCCAGTGCCACTCTTTGGAACCAGTTCCAAATACAGGAATGGAACCACCATAATACAGAGCCCTCAATTCCCATTCCACTGAGCCTGTCCAAAAGGATCCATGATCAATGGTATCAAAAGCCACTGAGAGATCCAGGAAAACCAACAGGGCCACACCTTCCCATCTTTAGCCTGGAGTCATTGCAACTAAGGCCATTTTGGTACCAAACCCTCACTGAAACCCAACTGAAATGAGTCCATATAATATTTCCTCCAAGAACATCTGAAGCTGCGCAGCCAATACATGTTCAAGAACCATGGCCCGAAAAGAGATGTTTGCAATGCGTCAGTAGTTGTCACATAACTCTGGGTTCAAAGAGGTCCTCTTCAAAAAGAGGACACACCACCATCTCTTTCAAGCCAGAAAACATCATCCCCTGCTGTAATAAGGCATTGACCACCTCCTAGATCCACCCAGTCAACTCATCTCTGCTTCATCTTACCAATCACTATGGGGAAAGGTCAACTGTATGTGGTGAGATGAACGGAATTTCATCTACCTCATCAAACCACAACTGAAAATGATCTCCAAAAGCTGACTAGTCACTACACTTGACACCTCCCTAAACACTAACATTTGTAGCATTAAGTTCCAAGTGAATATGAGTGACTTTCTCCTAAAAGTGCCCAGCAAATTTATCTTAGCATATAATTGAGGGTTCTACTCTTAGCCTCTGTGAGCCAAATCCTAACAAGCTTTCTTTCTTTCAAAATATTTTACCCTGCTTTTCTTCCTTAAAAGGAACTCAGGGCAGCTTACATCATCAAAAGACAATGTTTAAAGCTGAAAACAATGAGTACACAAACACCAGAAAGTGTCAAACATATAGCACTCTGAGAAATGGTAAGCAAAAGCAATACTAAACGCACATTCAAAGCAATAATGCATAAGCAAATATGTTTTCAAAAGATGAAAGGCTAGGACAATTTCAGAACAGTTCTCACAGAAAATAAGAAAGCTAACTATACTAAATTACTGTACTTACATTGAAACAGAACTTCGGCCTAGTTCCAGAGAATTAACAGAGTATAAATTAAGTAGTGAAACAGCAGGCAAGCACAGCATTCTCCTAAGAGAAACTAGGCTAAACTAAGCCCGGTGCCATTTTTATATCCATCACACAGACCTTTCAATGATATTCCATTGATCAGGCTCTCTGTCACCCCGAGACTTCAAGAAGGGAGCAACTTTTTCTAAAATCACTTCTTCCCCCCTTCCTTCTTCTGAGTTGAAACCAGTTCTCACTAATTAGCTAGGTACCTGGAAAGAGTTTTGCCAAGAGTGTTTTATGACTTTAGAAATTCCTTCTCACACGCAGCTGGACAAAACTTCCAATTAACAGGTAATTTCCCCCTTCTTTTCTGGCCCACCTATCCTAGCACGAGTTTCAGAGGCAACTAAAACCATCATCCTCTCATTTTCCAGTTACTTGACAAGAGCCTTCTGTCTAGCTCATTTCTTTTGGTAAGCAGCTATGATACAATGGTAGAGAATATGCCTTGGCTTCAGAGGGTGTGCCCAGACCCAACTATTAGCATAGAGTAAAACACTTGTTAAGAAGAAAACAAAATTGGCTGACATGGATATTATCCTGCAGCGTATTGGTTCTCACTCAGGTACTGTATTAGCATTATTATTTAAGTGAAATCCACTAAATATTAGCAGAGATTTGTCTTGGTGTGATATGGGTCTAAATGCATAGCATTTAGATTTCACTGGACTTAAGCATGCCTAACTTTTTGCTGGGCTTTGGCAATCATCCTTTCTCATAAACCAAAGACTATTATAACAGCTGTAAGTATGTAATGTAATCTGCCAAAATTGCCTCAAGAGGAAGTTCAGCCTTTTTAAAAAAAAGACGACGAAGAAAGCAACTGCCATGTAATTCCTTCTAACTATTGATTTTAAGGAATTATTGAGCTCTGAGGAATTTACTTTCAATCCAAACAATATAACACTGGAACACTCGGGTCATGCTTATGATCCCTTAAATCTATTCACTGATGCCTACTCAATCCAGTCACAAATGCAGAGTGATTCTGTGTGTACAGATATTCTAGTTGTGGGGGGTGGAGCTAAGAATAAAGTACATCTCAGTGAAATTACAATCATGGAGCAAGGCTCAGTTTAAATAGGAGTATGTGAAATTAAAATCTTGGCTGGGGGTTGTTAATTGTTTCTACAAATTAACTGTTAATTAACCTCCTGAATGAGTAAGCCACATATACAAAAAAGTATACATGTGTACCATAAAGGCGAGTAATGGGCACACAGCATTGCCTTGGCTGAAGCTTTGGGGACTCCAAGCACTCTTTCAAAGAAGCTTATCATTAGGCAGCTTCTGCTGAAGAAATAAAACTGCCCGAAGACGAGAGACACAGTGACATTCTCATTTGTTCACATATGAAAGTGAAAATGACAACAGTACAATATTACTTTTATCTAATTTTATTTTAGTTTACATTGCCCCACTCTCACCCACCCACCCAGATTTTAGCATCAAGGGGACATATGGTTGAGTGAAATCTTTCTTCCTCTCCTGCTCAGTTCTAGTATTAGAGCCAAGGAAAAGAAAATGGTAAGGCAGGGAAAACATGAGATCTTTCTGGGGCAAGTTTACATTATAACTTTATAGCTTTGCCATTTTTCCCATCATCAGGGCAGACGTGACAAACCAAGCAGGCCACTTTCAAATATAGTTGGATTCTATGTGTGAACTGCTGCGTGTAAATTATTATGCATACATTGGGTGGGGAGGTTATGGCCAATTGTCGGTTTCTATATAGGTGCATGTAGATTGTGCCTCTGTGTGATCCATACATCAATGTAGAAACTGCATACTAATTTATCAAGACACATATGTTATGCAATGTGCAGAGCAATCTGTGTATTTTTAGCTAACAGGTCTTGCTCAGCGAAAATAGGAACAAAGGAACAATTTGCAAAACATTATTCCATTCCATACAGTAAAGGCAGAGAGATCCTTTTTGGCAGCTGCTACTTTCCCCACAAGTTGTCCTAAAACAGTTATTCTATCAGTTTGTGGGAAATAATAGTTCAACAAACCATTATACAAATCAATGTTTGCTTCCCAATGGGATTATATATTATGTTCCAGTTAGAACTCTTTCATAGATTTGTTTGTCACATCAGTGAAACAGGGTCTCCAGTGAAACATCTCATGGTGATTTCAACAGATCGTTCGACTTGCAGTTGTCTTTAGTTTCAAGAATGAGATCAACCACATCATTGGAATTGTACAATCATACTCTACCATTAACCGTGTTTCTGTACAAAATCTGAAATAATAACAGTGAAAAGTTAATTACAAGTAGAGAAAAAAATCAAGTAAGGTGCACCTATCAACATTTTTAGAACAGCTCAAGGAGTTAAATATGTGCTAAACCTACTTAAGATAACTCACTCTTTATTATATGACTTCTCTAAGCTACGTGAAAATTGTTGCCAGTGTTTAAATGCAACACTTCCATGTAGATAGGGACACCTGTGTGTGTTGCATGCCATCCAGTCACTTCTGAAATATAGCAATGCCAGCTGGGTTCCCAAGGCATGTGAGATATTTAACAAGCAGTTTTACCAGTGCCATACACCCTCAGTGAGCTTGCATGGCCAATTCAGGATATGAACCCAGGTCTCTTAGGCCATCCCTCTGTCCACTACACCACAATGGCTCTGAAGTGCATCCAGTCAAATACAGAAATGCAAAGGCTACAGTTCCTAAAGGTAGTGTACAGGTAGCTCAGAGCTGCCACATACTTTTATGTAGCAGTCATGGCTGTTGTTGTTGTTGTTTAGTCATTAAGTCGTGTCTGACTCTTCGTGACCCCATGGACCAGAGCTATTTCAAGGTAAAAAGATTGAATCTATCAAAATCCTAACAAGGGTGAACCAACTAATACAAAAGAATGGCCTATAAGTTAAACCACTGAGCTAGCCAGCTGACTGACTCACTTCTGACCTAGAAGCCTTATCTTATAGCACTATTTCTTGCTTCATTTTTGAATTCTCTTATCATGGAAAACTCAAGGTACAAATACTGTACTCAAAAGTGGTTTACCATTGCTTCCTTTTGCAATGTAATAACAAGAGTTAGCTTGAGTGTCATGACCACTTCTCTGGAAGATCCTCTCTGCTGCCCAGTAGCTGGCCTTTAGGAACTGCTCTGCCCCATCACCACTGCAATTATCAATCCTCTTCTGGTGATGTAGCAGTTAGTTTCTGAAGAAGATGGATGCAACTTTGACCATTCTGCCCTGAGTGACTCTGCTATGAGTTCAGAATCCTAACCAAATCTAGCCTCCTGACAGCATTGCTCTTCAGGTTCCTTGGTACACTTAAAACCCCTCAATATGCAGAGGTGTGCATCCAAGGGGATCATTGATTTATATGCTCATGCTAAGTTGGAAGCAACCCAACCGCACATAACAACAAAACCAGTATTATATTTTATGAATCAAAATTTAAACCCTGAAGCATTTTGAGCAAACAGACAAAAAAAACCCAAGCAAGATCCATTTTACCTTTTTAATCAGCACTCATCCTCTGCTCAGAATTGAGTTTTGCGTAATCTAGAGGCAGAATGAGACCCACAACTGGGCCTACAATACTCAGCCAGGTGATTATGTAATTTGCATTCCTACAAAGCAAGAAGAAAAGCGTTTTATACTGTCAGCAAAAAGCAATATATATCAATAGTCTTTAAAACTCAGATGTCATGTTAAAAGGGAACTGATTTTTATAAAATCTGTATGACATTACAGATGGTTTTTATTATGTATTACAGGGAAGAAAAAAATTCCATAACATACACCAAGCACGGGTCCTACTTCCTTTTCTAGCAGGCATATCTAGGTCAGAGCTTGGCCTATCCCCCATCAAGAAGCCTTTCAGTCCAGCCTTTCTCCAGGTGAGTGCATTCCAGTATCTTGTCAACTAGCTAGGTCTATGGTCTGTATCTTTCCTATAAGGATGCTGAGTATCTGCACAGACATTTTAGTTCATGCTCTACAATAAAATGAAATCATTAATGTTAGCTGTAGAAACACTTTCTCTGTAAACCTAGCACATCTAAAATAAAAGCTACAGCTAGATGAAGCACACACACAAAAAAAGAAAAAGTCAATAAATATGAACATTTTATTTGAATTCCTCTAAGACCTGTAGGGGTACAGTGTAGTTGGCTTGACTAAATAAAACTTTCCAAATCTGCAGCATTCTATGCAAGTACACTCCAACAAAATTACTCTGTAATCAAGAATGATTATCCAAACCATGGAATTTGGAAGATGATCCTTGTATCCAAACCTTTTTGTGATCTTCACCCCACATCTTCATCTTGCTTTTTTAAAAGCAAGAGCTCAAATTCTCAGAATCCCTGTGTCATACAACATTAGTCCAAAGGTGTATTCAGTCTATTGATCTTATTCTACCCACCAAAACCTTGAACTATACATTTTTATGTTCCATTTCAGAGGCTCATAGTTGAGATATCACTAGCAAGGCAGACAAACCAGAAAATTATAGGTTTAACAATGGTCATAATAAAATATCTGGGCTTGCACTTGACATGTCTAAGGCCTAAGTGTACACAAGTACAGTATTTGCCACAAGCCCATATCTGTTATGGTAAGAGATACAGATCAACCTTAAGAAATAATGTCTTAGTCTGTTTAATTTGTCTCATTTCAAATTTCAAATTTAAATTTGTCTCATTTCAAAATACTTGTGGACTCTTTTAGTAAGAGCCCATACATAATCAGAAAGGCATATAAATATTTGTTCATAATTCTCATAAGTCATCTAAAAATGGACATAAAATCAATGAATCAATGAGCTAAACAACTCACACTGATGTTAGTTACCTGTTTTGTTTATGTGAACTTGATAAAACAGAAGCCATGAATTCATTTGTCCGACAAGGATGAAGTACAAAGAAAGGCTGTCCAAGTAATGGATGTTCCTGAAAAGCAGCAATTTCATAAATAATTCATATAGCATCTCTAGTGTATGCAGTGATTTGCAATAATTATTATAGTCATCCCTTAGATTCTTAAAGTTCATATGCTAGAGATGGGGAACAGAAGTTAAAGACAGTGAGCACAATTCTCCTGCATAAATTCATGCCGGCAGGAGCTACTGTAGATGTCATCATTTGGTGCCAGGAAAGTTTAATTTAAATTTCTATCCCCCGCTTGCAGGTTCTGAGGCTTCCTAGTGCTCCCATTTGCCCAGAGCAAGCCACTGGGAACATCAGGATGGTGAGGGGGGCCAATAATAGTCCAAAATCACTACCAGATTGCTGCTGCCAGGAGCAATGTGGTGACTATTTTTGACTAATAAAGGCTCCCCTTTCCACCATGAAGCTCCCATAGGCTTCCTCAATGCAAAAAGGAGCCTTAGGAAGCTTCAGAACCTGAAAGGTGGGAGATAGAAAGCTTTCAATTAATTTAAAGTCTGGATGATGTCACCATACTCCTTCTGCTGAATTAATTTATGTCAATAGGATTTTGGCCACTGACTTACACAAGACATTCAGTGCAGTAAGTCTGTACCTAAAGCTGTGTCTTGACCTCAGTATGGGTCATTCAATCAGACACTGCCCAGAATCCTATTGTTGTTCAATTTCTGCATAACTTACCAGAGCTAACTGATAAGGTGACAGGGTGCATCTAAGTCATGTGCCTAGTCACCACCTGATTGCACTATCAAGATGCATTCCAGTACCTTATCAATTAGCCATAGCAACTTATACAAACATTATGTGAACACCCACAGAATTCTGGCCATTTTTTTCCAGAAAAGTACACTCATTTATTCACTTAGCAAGTATTTCCAATAAAAAAAAAAGACATTCATTATTTTTTTAAAAAATGGTGTGTGTATGACTCACTCAAACAAGATAGTTGCATAAGCCCATCTCTCTCTCTGCCTGTACTAAACACCATCAGCAATTACTGCAACTTAACAGATCATTATCTCTCCCACTCTACAACTGAAGCACAAGGAAAGGCACCCTGCAGTGACTGGACTGAAAGAAAAAGATCAGGCTTCCTATTTTGGATTGAAAGACAACATAATAGCTGTAGAATTGCCAGAAAACAGAACTGTGAATATGGCAGCAGAAAACACCAAAACAAGAAAGAAAGTACCATTGCTGTTACAAATATATCATGATCAGGTCATAAAGAAATGGCCAGTCACTCTTTAAGCATTGCAAACTTCACACTCTATGAATATGACAGAGAAACTGACAACAATCTCCCAAAGAGTTAATGATGACTTAGATCTAGATTTTCAAAAACAAAATCACAGCTGTTACTAATACTGTACAGTGGGGTCTTGACTTGAGAACTTAATCCGTATTGGAAGGCGCTTCTCAAGTATTGCAAACTTCACACTCTATGAATATGACAGAGAAACTGACAACAGTCTCCCGAAGAGTTAATGATGACTTAGATCTAGATTTACAAAAACAAAATCACAGCTGTTTCTAATACTGTACATCTAAAGCGCTCCAACTAAAGTTAGATTTTGAAAAATGTTATCAATATTGGAATTTCAGGCTTCACACGATCCCGGAACCAGAGTCTAGAGAAAACACAGTGCAACTTTTAGTGGAATGATTTTGTCAAATACTCCTCAACATAAGGAGTTATTCTGGAACAGATTATAAAGCAATCATTGTGCAAGCAGTTGGAAAACAATGCAGTAAATAAGAACAAATGCTGCCAAACTAATTTGATCTCATTTTTTTGATCAAGTAACTTCCCTGACAGACAGAGGGAATGCTGTAGACATAGTATATCTTGATTTCAGCAAAGCTTTTGACAAAGTGTCTCATGATATCCTGATTAGCAAGCTAACTACAGTAGGTGTGGGCTGGGTAGATCAAGTGTCAAGTGGATACACAGTTGGCTACAGAATCGTACTCAGAGGGTGATGACAATGGGTCCTTCTCTAACTGGGAGGAGGTCACAAGTGGGGTACTCCAAGGCTCAGTCCTGGGCCAGTGCTCTTCAATATCTTTATTAATGACTTGGATGAGGGAGTGCAGGG